TATCCACTAAATATTGGAAAGAAGTTCCTTCTTTTGATCTGTCATGACCTGCTGTCAGTCCTGTTGATCTATTTGTTTTTTAAGTTTCTGTTTTTTAAAAAGACAACTCCCGCAGTAGGTATATATGGCGTAGTGGTTTACGCGGCTACGCTAAGTGCTGTGGGCCCGATCCCCACATGGGACTACACTTTGTGTGACCCACAAATTGTTTGTTACACAAGTTGTTTTTAAGTCATCTCCCGCATTATACCTAAAGTATATCCTGTGTGATAAGTAAGTGACTTTACAAACATACATGAAACTATGATAACACACTATGATTTAAGTTGATTTTGAATAGTGTATCGTTGACACTCTCAACTCACGTTCATTAAAAGTTACAGCTCGATGCCGAGATATTAAAATTTAAGACTGTCAAGTTATATCTTAATTATCTCTTAAGTTTAATTTTCATCATCATCATATTAAAGAATAGTCCAATGCTGGACATAAGCCTCTCCTTAGAAAGGACGTTTTGGCAAGTTTTCCTTCTCTTTGCAGTGCTGTTTCCCTGAGTAGTTTGCTCCCTTAGTCGACTCTTACGACACCCACGAAATGAATAGGGGTGGTAACACTCCGTATTCTTAATCCGTCACCACACGGACAGTTTTATTTTTACTTGGTTATAATTGACCGTTATATTGTGCATGTATAGGTAATCGTTTTTTTTTGTATTCTGTCCATCGATAGATGTTTTCTCTAAAGAAAACAGTACTAGCATAATAATGGGAAACTCGTTCTTGGTACTACGAAGCGGGCGGGGGACTAATATTTTTGTCCTTTTTTGGATCAGTTTTTGAATGGTTCTTTTACTAAAGTTGTAGGCAATGTGTCGTTAAACAAAATTTATTATGGCGCTTAATAAACTTTATAAAACAATAAATATCTTTAAAGTTGCTGTGTTGGTAATTAAAAGAAAGATAATATCGGAATTTTACGACCCAAATAAAGTATAAATTACGGTGACAGTAATTTAAGTACGTACATATTTATACGATTTTGTATTTACTTAACGAGACGTTACTAATCAAATACAAGTCTTAAAAGTTATCAAGGATTTTCCATGTGTCAATACATACCAAGGTGGTCATCTGCTAGCATCATGTTAGCACACGAACTTTTGGTCCTTCGAGTTGTATTCATAATTCAAATATCATACATATTTGTAAAGTGGTGTTGTATAGATCTCTTTAAAAATTAAAATCCAAAATTATTGTTATTATGTATTAAGATTTTTAGTTTTTAAACTTGCTGTTTCTATTGTATTGTATTTTACAATACAACAGATATACTTAGAAAATTAATCTACTTACTTACGCCTACGCGCATTATTGTCCACAGTGATAACACGGCCTCACAGAAATTCTGAGGGACATTGCATTTTACCGTTGATTAGGTTTATCAAAGATATCCAAATCAAAAGGGCCACTCAAAATCTGGCAATACAATGCAGTCACCCATCAGCACGGTAGTAGCGACTTACCATCAAGTGACTCACCTGCTTGTTCCTCCTCCAAACCATAAAAACATGTACGCCTTTCTATGTTAAGGTGCATTGGCAGACCGTCATTTCTTACTTAATTTATTTTCCTTCCTCTAGGTTTCAGTACGAAGCCTCTGGCAATAAAACAATGAAATTTTATTACCGTCCTAAGCTGTTTTGGACATCCAGCGGCTGCCAAAGTTGCCTATTTATCCTGGTACTAATTTCAGTCTAATGATTGTGCCGATGGCTTCGCGCGAGGGATTAGAAATGCTCATAAAACCGATACAACAATTAATTGATCAAGACAGAGATTCTCAAAGTGTTTTTATAGCCTTGAGTAATTTTAAATCAGTATTTAATGACTAAAGAATAATAAGTATCCAGTCGATGATTTTTTAAAACTTGGTATTCAAATTTATAGGTTTTACATAAGTAGTTTCTGCGTTGTGTTACAGTTTTATTAATGTCGTTTAGGTTGAAAACATTTTAAGATTCATGAAAGTACCTGATGACGAATGTGTTTATTAAAATGCCTGCAAATAGTTAGTAATAACTCAATGATGTATTAAGAGTAGCTTCAAACAAAAAGCACTTTCAGTTAAAAATGTTCTACTTGCGCAAGGCAGATCCAAACTTTGATTATATAGAAAACTTAGCGAGGTATTGAACAAGAGAAGTTTTATAAAGGAGTCTCAAGAAGAAATATTGAGGATCACTGACCCTCGGGACGTTACCAGAACGTTATCGGAAACTCACAAGCGTAATGTTATACTTTATTGGGTACGGATTACGGCCACGCAATTTTGTTATAATAATGGCGGCTGTTTGTTTCGTTCAGTAATCCCGAACAATGAACTACGGAGTTTTGTTACGTTGTACTGTATGATACTGCTGTATTGTAGCATTAGACTAGCTCTATTTGATGTTCAGAATGTTTTGATCCGTATGGTGGGTATTTGGTATTGTCATAACATTAATAAAAAATATTTTGACATATCTGACAAATATGTCACTTGGTCATGTAACCACAGAGTGTAGAAAAAATAAAAAGAAAAAAATTATTTGATAAAAAGACTCTTTATATGAAAAAGTTAGAAATCCGAACTACAAAACCAGAAGTAGTGAGCTCAATTCAGAGGAGGTATAACAGTGCACTGCTGGACATAGGCCTCTCCTTAGGAAGGAGGTTTTGGCCTACTATGCCGCGATGGCCAGACGGGTTGGCATAGGGTCCACACGTAAAAAAAAAAAAAAAAAAAAAAAAAAAGGGTTTGTTTCAAGTTTTCCTTCTCTATATATCAGGTAAGTTTTATTGAGAGTGTATAAAAACTATTACCGAGTGGCAATGTATTCGTTCATAAATGAGAGAGTGTGTGTGAGCATGTGTTTGTGTGTGTGTAAAAGTTAGTCAGGTATTATTCAAAGTTAAACTTGTTCTAATGCCAGTACTGGGAGCCATAGGCACAAATTAAACTTTATAGCCCACGTATTAAGACCCAAGAGTTAAAACAATAGAATAATAACATAAAATATAATAGCTTGTGACAACCCTAAGACTCAGTGGGACACTCACGGGACTCAACATGGGACATGAACGATAACGGTCTGTGTCCCCTGACCACGGAAACAGCCCCCTCAATATTGAGTTCAAAATATTTGTTTTAATATTTTAGTTAGTAGTTAATTTTCATTGTTTAGTTGTTATTACACCATTGGCGAATATTTAATTGGCTAAGGACTCGAATTTGTTTTCGAAGGCTTCGTGATTAAACCTCACTAGTACGCTAGTACTAGTGTGATAATTAAAACAACTTCTAATACAATAATGCTAAGCTGCAGGGCTTAGAATACTAGTCATGTGAGATTCGCTTTGCTAGTTTACTTAAAAACCTCGTCAAAATATGTGTCAGGCTACGCGCATTTTAGGGTTCCGTAATTTATAACCACTAGACTGTTTTAAACAAGTCACAACTTCATGTATTTTTTTTTCAAGGACTTCTCCTATTAAGTACATTTTTACGACGTTTTTTGGCGACTGTAACTCTAAAAAATCACCAATTTACGTGTAGAAGATGTACCCAAAACATTATTTTACAATATTTTTTTTTATTCGTTTATTAGCATATACCCAAACAAAATTACGGCTTTCTAGTAAACAAGTCTCTACAACAGTCTCTAAGCTAAACTGCAGTCTCTTATTTCCTGATGTTTTGTTCGTTTCTTGTCCTGTCTGTTCAAAAACCTTCCAACCGTCAGGCTTTTAGTTTTATAGTTCGTTGACCCAGTTCTCTCTTAACGAAAATCCTTATCGACTCTATTTCCATGCACTGTTTAGTTTATTCTTAGAACCTAATTGTGCACTCAAAATAAGTCACTGCACACAAAAACATCTCGTTTTAGTTTGAAGATTTCGATGCTGATCTTCGGCAGTTTCACACCACATACATTCGACCGATATACTTATCATGCAAACGTTTAATAAAAGTAACAAAACTGTCTAAATATTTTATTATTGTTGTTGAAATATTGACCTATATATATATATATCTAAAACGTCTGAACCAAAAATTCTCTGTATGTTCAGACTGTGTATCAACTCGGCTTGACAGATTATATTACTTTGAATGCCCAGAATTTCTGTTGATATTCGATTTGTGTTTGTTTTATATAAATTTAGAATTTATCAAAGTGGTAACTATTAGATTTGTTATTGACAGCACGTTCTGATCACGTGTCATATACATATGTTGTGTCATCAACAGCCTATAACAGTCCACTGCTGGACATAGGCCTCTCCTTAGAAACTAAGTTTTCGCACACGTTTGTTTCAAGTTTTCCTTCTCTTTGTAGTAATGTTTTATTTTATTTTATTTTAAAACATTACAATAATGTAACAACGAAGCTATTCGCAGGTATTTGCTAGTACTGGGTTGTCTACTATATTTATATTTTTAGATCATAGTATCGACTTTTGAATTGCTCTTGAATTAAAAGATTCTTATAGAACCTTGTGTTTATTTATTATCGACTTAGAAAAGAGAAAAAAATACCTTGTCCAATTTGCTTCCATCCTTTGTCTCGTCTGAAAATGATAAGTTTTCAGTCGACACGTTACAATGTCACCTACAGAACTGAATTTTTAGAGTTGTGTAACCAACCTACCTGTAATTTGAAAGTGACGAAATATCTATAGAAAATACACAATTCGCATAATACTCGTGTGACATACAGGTGAAAACTCAATTTTCACATTGTCAAGTTCAACGTAACTTCAATATTCATACATTAGCAGTTCCGCAGAAAGTGTTTACTAAACACATATACAACTTTCTTCAATTAACACCTGTGTTCGTTGTGAGACTAAAAATTACCTAGACTATAGTTTCAGATCACACGGCAGTTGATACATGACGGTCACACACAATAAAACTGACATTTTAGTTTATTTTTAAAAGCAGTTAGTGTTGCCATAAACATGCGTTTGGTAAAAGTGTTGCTAGTATGTTTATTGGTCGCGTTTAGTGAAGGGTCTGAAGACAATAGTGTTGAAGCGAGAGGAAAGAAAAAGAAAATAGCGTTGTTAAGTAAGTTTTAAATTCTTCTTTTATAACAAATGTTTCCGTGTGGTGACGGATTAAGAATACGGAATATCACCACCGCTATTCATCCCGTGGGTGCCGTAAGAGCCGACTAAGAGAGCAAACTACGCAGGACAACAGCACTGCAAAGAGAAGGAAAACTTGACACAAACCCTATACCCACCCGTCTGGGCTGCGTCTCCTTTCTAAGGAGAGGCTTATGTCCAGCAGTAGACTATTATAAGCTGTTGATATGATATGATAACAAATGTTTATATCGTATCCAGCAATATTTTATAATTAACTAGCTGTACTTTGCGATGCTAAACCGTGACACATTGTGGTTGCAAAAGTAGATAAAATAAAACTCTCTGAAGCGTGTTCTACATATATCGTGTCAAAATTGGAGTCGAATCGGTACAGAACTGTGAGTTCTCGAAGCGTACACTAACCAACTTAACATTTTTATAATAATATGTATATATAATTACTTGGTTTCTCGTTTGATCCACATCAATGAAGACTATTTAAATGTTCTTTGTTAGGGTTCCGTACCTCAAAAAGTAAAAAAGGAACCCTTATAAGATCACTTTCTTGTCCGTCTGTCCGTCTGCCCGTGTGTCACCACCAATTTTCTCAGGAACGGGTAGACCTAGCAGCTTGAAATTTATACCAGAAACTGAGGTCTATGGTCCCTATTAGGTGTATAAAAATCAAGGTCCTGAGTCGTCAACACGATAAAAAGATATGGAAAAATTTCGATTTTCGCGAAATTTTGTAAGTATTTGATTTTTCAGAATTTTCTCTTTACTTGTGCTGTAAGACCTTGTTTTTAACCAAAATTGACAATTCTAGGTCAACCGGAAGTACCCTATAGGTTTTGGGTCGAAAACCTATATAGTAGTTCCCGTTGACCTAGAATCACAAATTTGGCAAAAAGAAACGTCTTTCAGCACAAATAAAGGAATAATTCAAAAAAATAAAAAAAGTTGAAAATTAAGATAAATTTTGGTGCTTACAAATTTTCGCGAAAATCTACGTAAAATCTGGGTAGATACGGAACCCTCGGAGCACGAGTTCGACTCGTACCTGACCGGTTTTTTTTTTGTACTGAGACCTGAGTCTTTCGTTGCCTTTCACTGAGTGAGTGAGGAGGGAGCGGGAGGGACTCCAAGGACAGCAACGCACTTGTGACTTTTGAGTTGCAGGTGTCCATGGGCGGCGGTAGTTGCTTACCATCAGGTGACCCGTCTACTCGTTTGCCCCCTTATACCATAAAAAAAATGACAGGAACGTACTGTATAGGTAGGATACATTAACCCAGAACAGATGTGGTGGAACTCCGTCCACAATATCATATTATAACATTAACAATGTAACATAATATTAATTAGGTTAATTTAATATTTTTTATTTACAGCCTAAGTTAGTAAAATGCTTTGTTTCATTCGCGTATTTAGAGACAGATTTAAAAACATTTTTTTTTCTGTTTTGTGCATGTATTACTGCGTTTATTCTTTTGCTATGAACAGGTTTTACCAACTAACCAACTCATAAAATAATGAAGCAAGACTGAAAAGTGTAAAGATTTACTGACAATTTGAACTGGAATCAAACTCTGCCCCTAATATTATCCAATGAAAAAAATAACCAAAGGGTTAAGTAGACGTCAAATTCTTAACTTTAAAAAAGTATCAGCCACTTTAATGTACTTCATCCCTTAATTTTACACTTTAGGATGAAGATTAAAATTTTCTGCTTTTAATTAAAATGAATCAATCTTGTATAACAGTTTAATTTAAACAGGAAAATATATAGGAGATATAATTGAAATCGGTTCACATAGGGAAAGGAAATTTTCAAATACGTTCCTGCTTTTTGCAGTTGGATAAAATATTCGTAAATTGTATCGTCGTGCAATATGTATATGCCAATGAACTAACCACATATCTTCTTGTTACTTCTCAGTCTATTTCCTGGATCTCGTCGTTAAGAAGATATTCATTGTTAAGATCATCTACGCCTTCGCATTCTGGCTCCTGCTCCACAAGGCTGGTTACTTCTTTGGATGGTTCGTGAGTTACCTGAAGGAGCAAAAGCATGAATACCACCATCATCCCCACCACCATTACGAGGAGTACGGACCTCATGGACATTATAGAAGGCAGAATCAACAACCTATTTCGAAGTATAACCCTTATTCTTCACCTGAGAGGAACGTGAGGTTTTAGTGTTATGAAAATAATGTGGAATAAAAATGTTCACAATTTATTGCCACCATGGTCCATGGTCATTGGTCATGGACCTGGTCCTGATATATGTTTTGAGCCTCTTCCATATTTATCAGTCCTTTCACACACTCATCAGCTCCCAATGCTTTTAATTAGGTTCTACTTGAAAATGCTAATTATTAAACGCAACGACCGGATGGCGTAGTGGTTTGTGTAACGGCCTGCTATTCCAAAGGTCGCGGGTTCGATTCCCGCTAATGTCAAACATTTGTGTGCATGAACATTTAATGTTTGATTTGGTCTGGTTGTTTCTATGTATAAAAAGTATATATGTATTTATATCAGTTATCTAGTACCCATAGTACAAGCTTTGCTTAGTTAGGGACTAGATTTCGTTGTGTGACTGTGGTAGAATATATATATAAATATATAAACCAGTGAATGCGATAAATTTCACCCAGGATAAATATTTGTGTGACGAGCACGATAATTTGTTCTGTCTCTGGTTTAATTTATCTAAAATATTTATATATATGTATTTACGACCAGACGACCATGTGTGAGGTCTATGAAATTATTATTACATTGCGAAATTCGGGTTTACCGCACGGCATACCCACTCAGTTTAAAAAGGAGGGCACAGGAGATAAACCAAAAATGTACGAGATTTAATTATTACTCGTATTGGGTTATTAAGCGTTCCTGACCCCTTTTTTTTCTTTTTTTTTTTTTCGTGCTGTTATCCCCTCGTATACCACCTATCGGTGGCATGATGGACTCGAACCGACTAAAACAGCACTCCGTCTCGGGTACTAATAGCAGGGGAACCAGGTATACCCTAGAAAGGAAGTCCCTGGTGCAGGCGTTCCTGACCCCTGGCCGTAATCATTTCTTACTTAAATAATAAAATAGTTGTGACCACATTGCGTGCTGTGAAACCGACCATCATTTGTTTGTATTGACCGTTTAGAAGAGTTGATAGATATTTATGTAGTTAAAAAATAATCTCTCCAATAATAATATGTAAATTAAAAATGAACAAACTATTTACAGTGACGCACTAGTCTACTTTAACTAGAGCCCAAAAGATTTCATGAATACATAAGCAGTCTTGTATTACGTATTTTTATGGAAATGTGTAATGCTGTGAATTTTGTATGTCATTCTAGATATGACTCTTGGTTAGACTGTGGAAGGGTGTTAACCTCATTCATTTGTAGAGGAATTTCTAATTCATTCACTCATAGTAACTCGGTGATGACGAGTAGAAGACTACTTATAAACGAGTATTATCAAATCTTTTCTTCTTTCCAAGAATCTCTTCTTTTTTAATTATTATTCTTTCCTCTGGCATGATAAGAGGTTATTCAATTAAGTTATAACATAATAGCTCTGTAAGTAAAATCTAAGCTAGATACGGTAAATTGTAAATAGTTAAAATAGAAATATTTTTTGAACTATAAGTTATATCATTATTTATTTTAATTTATACGGTGTATATTTTTTTTGTAAATAAAATAATTAAATAATAAATTTCGTGAAATTCTTTTAAAATAAGTAATGAATGAATATGGATATTATTGGTGCACTATAATTTCCTAATAATACAAGATCTATTTTGGAAAAAATAAGATAATCTTATAATTTTAATATTTATAAGAGAGTCTTTGATTAAGCGAAATTTTGTAAAACGTCGATGATACCCCATACGGGAGGGGTATGGGGTATCATCAACGTTTTGCCATTAGAAAAGAAATAGATATAGTGTTACCTCCGATGAACTTCTCTGGGGAGAACACGTTCAATAATAGCATGCTTAAATACTTTTCTGAAAAGTGCATATGATGAAGCATACATATTTTTGAGTGTTTAGCCGAGGTCACAACCAACTTCTGGTTAAATACGAGGTAATTGATTGCATAATGCAAGTAAAAAGTTAGGTTAGTATAATAAAATTCAAAAAATGGTTATGCTTTATCACACAATTCGTCATCATAATGAACATCCAGCAGGTTTTGGGCAACTGTACGCTGGCCAGTCGGGTTGGTATAGGGTATGTGTCAAGTTTTCCTTCTTTTGCAGTGCTGTTGTCATCCGTAGTTTGCTCCCTTGATCGGCTCTTACGACACCCATGGAAAGAACAAGGGTGGTGGCACTCCATATTTTTAATCCGTCACCACACGGAAAAGAACATATGTTATTTTGTAATTGCTCAGGAAGCACATTGCTGAAAATAGGTACGATCTTCGATAAGTTGTAAGTGTTCATGAGCGGTGATAGTCACTTACCATCAGGTGACCTGTTTGCTCGTTTATCCCATGTATGATAACAAAAAGACATTGTAAAAACAGAAAATGAGCTCGCGATGAGGTACAGTCGATCTAGTTCCCGTTTTAATGGAGACCAAATGGATCAGGGCAATATAAAATTTGTCACTTCAGGTTTTCATAAAATTTAGTAAAGACTAAAACAAAGGTTTGTGGTCATGATTATTGCGTTAGAGGTCATGACTTCGATTCTCACTTAACACAAGCTCAAAGATTTGCCCTGTATCTGTAACATATCTATAACATTTACGTATTTAGAAGTATAGGAGAGGATCAGGCAGCTCTGTGTGAGGTGTCCTTAAGATGAAAATGTTGTTAAAATTAAACAAAATCTTTCCGTGTTAAAGTATTCCAATGACTTCATTCTCCAAGCCCGAGGCGGGAACACCGTGCTGGCACTTACTAGTGTGCTGCCAAGTGCTTCATAATAATAACATTATCGCCTTACAATAAAACGTAATGAACACTTGGTGCCTTATTTATTTAAATACAACAAAGTTGGCGGAATATTCTCTGCTTTTTACTTCCACATATTGTTTTAATCGTTTGACCCATATTATATCCAAGCTGAAAGAGTAAAACGGCTGATGAAGGGGGAACACGAAATACTAATATAGAAATGCTTGGTGGTGATAAAAATTTAAGGATGGTGATATGTATTATACTGGTAAAGGAATAAATGTAGCGCTTGAATGCAGTAGCAGCATCAGGATGAATGTTATACAAAAAAGTGTGGTGTGGTTTTACTAAACCACAATGCAAGTTAAAACAAATTTCGGATTGTAGGCTTTTATTAGATTTACGGTATTGATCAAACACACACGAATACCGCGGAGCACTTGCATGAATGAGTGGGAATATAAATGCTACACGGTCAGCTGATGCAAGCGCCGCCATATTGGCTTTGTCTGTAAGGCGACATGCGATGGATGGACGAAACAAAATTGAGGCGATGTAATAAATGTTTCACTTTAATACATTTTATTAATATTATATGTATATACAATAATATAATAAATACTATGAAATTTATAAATAGTCTCAGTAACAAAAAATCAGAAGTATATGTCTGTTACGGTTTCGTATCTACAACGGTTGTCACGCAAAAATATCTTATAAATTTGAGCCTGTACTATGCTCTGTGTTGTACTGTGATAGGCTCTGCTTAGATTGTGAGATCTCCAAATGTCAGATGTGTCAAGTTATTATTATTTAAGGAATGTTACCTTGAGTTTTATAAAAAAAATCATGTTACCTCTTTCTCTAACGCAGTCCATGACAACATTGATCAAGCAGATTTAGCTGTGGATAAAAGTCGTGAAGTTTATCCCCGATCATAAAACGAACAAAATAACAATTTCACTTCGCACATAAACCGAATGGAGCCAGTTCATTCCGCTTATAACTGCCCATAACTGGTTTAATAATCTTTAGTACGCGTGTACTCATAGCAATAATTTCAGACAGTACACTTTGTATTTTATTATGTTTCAAAGTATTTTTTAATAGTGTGTACACAAAATAGTAGATTATTCCTTACATAGATAAACATTAGTACTATTTTCTGTCAACATTCAACATTTGGGTAATTGCCACTCTACCGCTGTACGCTTTTCATGAAAGCTTTTATGCAACAATAAGCAACGTGTGGAACAAATTATTTACACCTGCGGTATTTCCGAACCGATACGATCTCCAAAGAGAGAAAAGAGCGTACCTCACGGGTCAGCAACGCGCTTGTAACTCCCGAGGGCCTATTGTAAGTTATTTTTTTAATTCTAGTCGATCGTCACGGTGGTCGCGTTCGGTGTTGTGATTGGTAAAGAGTTCGGTTCGGGCCGATCACAACGCCAAAAGCGGTCACCGTGACGATTAAGTCTAGCTTTATAGCTATATGTGGCGATAGTCACTTTTCGTCGAGTGATCCGTCTGCTCACTTGTCCTCTATATAATAAAATTAATAATAATGGCAAATTAAAGTATGAAAAACTTGATATTGTTTTGATAATTAACAATTCCTGTATTTTCGGATTTGCTGGTAACTGAATTTCTTGTTACTTGGCAAGTATAACGCCATAGAACTTGAGTGTTATTAAGCTATAGTCTTTAACATTTTCGATTACTAAACTCGGTTCCAAAAATAACGGGTCAGTCACATAAACCCGAATATCTCCCGAACTACGTATGCCATCCTAATGAAACGAAGACTGTTCAATTGATAATTTAATTATACAGATAAAAAATAAAATAAAACTTAAATCTAAACTCTCTAACCCTTAACTTATCTCTAAATAAAAAAAAACCAAAGTAGTCATATTTTTCTTAAGATTACATTTTTTTATGATTGTTTTTTTGCTGTTTTTCATCACTTTCTTCATTTAATACTTTGTATTGCCTCCACGAGATCTTCTGACACCTTCCAGGCGATTAGGCATGCTGTACACCAAATTTCGGAGCCGGTGCTGAGGAATACCTTCCCATTCCTTAACCAGTGCTTGTTTGAGCTCGGGAAGCGTGATTGGTGGGGGGTTTCGACCTTTCACGCATCTCTGAAGCTCGTCCCAGGCGTGCTCGATGGGGGTTCTTCAGCGCATGCCTCGAGCGGGGCCAGTTTCCGAAATTGTGGAGGACGGGGAAACTGGTCCTCATCGGAAAGGAGGGGCGCCCGGCGGA